CTCTTGTTCTTGCAAATGGATCCTCCATCCGCAGATAGCATCATCTGAACCTCGTAAGATATTTTTTCAAGTGTATTTTGCAAGGCATCTCCTTCTACGATACTGTATTTGTAGACATAATTTTCTTTGTCAACCTCCTCAACGTGGTGCTTCACGCTCTTATACTGGCTACCTATAAGTTTTCAAATGATAATCAAATCACATACACACACACACACACACACATATATATATATATATATATTAGTTGTTTGGAAATTGACTTACAAATGCAGACATTAAAAAAACGTTCCAAACAAAATCTGACCTTCGCCAAAAGTGGTGACTTTAATAGTTCCGGCACCGCCATCTCCTAGGAGGATTTTGACACTCTTAACGGCTTGTGGCAAGACTTTGGGAATCAATTCGTCGCCATTAACAATAAAAGCATTGAACAATCTCGCTGGTGAGATTGAAGAAGTGACCTCGTGAACATAAGTGATGGCACCCATGATTAATTTGTTTACCTAATCAGTGTACTTAAAAGAGGAGATAATGTTGATGCTAGCTAGAGAGCAAAAAGATTGCGAGAATAGTGTTGTTGTTGTTAGATCTTTGTAATTCAAAGGTTTTGATGCTCTTGGAGGACTCCTGGGCAAGTTATTTATGATATGGGCTTGGTGCTAGTCATCGGAGTAAGACACTCCGTGGATTTAATTAATTACACTTACACACTTGTGTCAACATAATTTTCAATATACGAGAACTAAGAGGCCATAATTTTTTTTTTATAATTAGACTACTAATTTAGTTGTATATAAATTATCTGCACCAGACACATTTCTATTTATAATATAAAGCACCTAGGGTGATACACACGCGCCCAAAAAGGGGTAAAAAAAATAAATCTTCAATTCCTGATAATTCTTTTAATTTTTAACCATCATTAATCATATTCAATTTACTATTCCATTCAATCCAAAGACGTCTCAAACTAAAAAAAATCTAAAAACCCAAATTTCATCGCTGTAGCGATTTGGCATCAGAACCTCTCCCCGGCGATACTTTTGAAGACGGAAATCATAGTGGACATCAAATCCCGTGATTTGGATTGCAACATACTCTAGTCAAAATGAGGATTAAGGTAATATATGATTTAATTCATCAGTTTTGTGTGCTTATTCCACGCATCAAGTTCTAATAATGTTGCTTTTTTTTTTCTGAAATATTTATGCGGAGGGCTACGATTGTCGATTCTAAATTGAGTAGGAGCACATCGGAAAATAGAGAGGGAACGAGGTAATACTACTTTTTTCTTTAATAATGGATGTGTTTTTTTGGTTTGAGTTGTAGATCTAAGTTATGTCCATTCGATTATAAATATTTGCTCATTAATTTCTTAGTTTTGTTCATTGATATGTTGTTGATTTTAGAAGAAATTAATAGATCTGGGCATTATTCATCATTTCGATATCGTTATTCATCGTTGATAATGTGATATTCATCGCCGATAATAGATCTAGACATTATTCATCAGCCTATTTTTTTCATCAATTTGTTATCGTTGAACATCGGTTTGTTATTGTATTTTTTTTTATTTGAGAATATTCATCCGTAATGAGAGGTTATTCATCAAAAATTTAGAGCAATAAATCGTCAAAAATTCTGATCGTTGAATATGTGTTAGTCATACTAAAAACATCATTCATCCTGCGAAGAAATGCCATTCATTTTAATAAATTGTTATTTATCATGTAATATGTGAACGTACACGATTGTAAATATATGTCATTAATGCTGTAAAATTGTGTTATTTATCCTGTCAATATATGTCATTCATCCTTTTGACATGTGTTATTTATTTCATAGATATGTGTATTCATCATGAAAAGATACATCATTCATCACCAGTGATGTTGTTATTCATCATTTAGTATGTACCTTTACACGATTGTTATTAACTAGATTCGATTTATGTAATTTTAATGCTTATTCATCATTTTCAAAATGATTATTCATCTTCAATAGCATTGTTATTGATGATTAACAGAGTTTTGATTGAACGTGAAATCTCACTTATTATAATGTTTTGTTTGATCAGCAGCAAAGAAATGCTCATCAAGATGAAGTCGATCGGTCGGGAATCAAATATTTTGCTAGAGTTGCTGAATTCAAACAATCAACATAAACGTATCGAACATCGGCAAATCCTTCAAGACCTTATATGTTAAAAACAATGACTAGTTTTTTTTGTTATTTTTTGTCTAGTATAATACATATTTAGAAGTTTGTTAGTTTAGTTGCTGATATTAACCCATTGTAATTTATACTATTGTTATCAAAGTTATTCATCCTATAACGTATATTATTCATTCATTAAAGTACAATTATTCATCTTGTAAAACTACAACTATTATTCATTGTAATATTATTATTCATTTAGGACGAGATCATTATTCATCAGATTTGCATTGTTATTCATCTTCGTGAATATCATTATTCATTACAAAATTTAAATTTATTCGTCCATGACGTTGTCACTATAAGAACACCATTATTCATCCACAATATTATCATTATTCATCGATAAGTATACCAGTATTCATCCAAATAAAAATCATTATCCATCAAAATTTTCTAAATTTGACTCTTAATTCTCCAAATTCTATTGTTAATCAGTTGAAATTTTTTGCTCCAATTGATTCTCCACATTCATAAGTCTCAATGATGAACGATATTAGATTTTACCAAAATAAAAATCATCGTTAAAAAAAAATTCATAAAATTAAATAATATAAACTAACCGGATTAGCAAAAAAAAATAAAATTAAACGTGTGTTAAAAAAAGGGATAAAATTGGATGATTAAATGTCCAAAAAAAGAGATAAAATTGGGGGATTAAATGTGCGTGTGACGACATAAAATCCGGACTAAAATGGTCACTTTTTTTTTTGCCAAATTTGTGATGCACGCACTAGCTAGGTATAAAGTATACTTAGGTGATTAATATTAGTTGCTTACACATTTCATCATCCTGAAGAAAATTTCTTATAGGGAGCACTATAGACGGTGAAGTGTGAAGTCGACGCGATGGTAGACTGAAACAATTCATAGTATGTAGATCGTGTCATTCTAGAAGCCCAAATTGTTTGACCCATTTATGGGAACAGATCATTTGACCAGTTCAAGTATCAATTAAGTTGCTAATCCTAGTAATGTCCTACAAATTAAGGTACTACCAAACGAAGGGGAAAAAAGAAAACGAAGAAGAAATAGCCAACAATATTTGAATGCTTGATATACAACAACAATGCATCAAATGATTTTATAAATTTTGGCTCCGTATTATATATTTACCCGCGCCAACAACCCTAATTGACGAACTATTGCATTGACGGAAAATTAAGAAATGCCCAAACGAACTCCAAATAAGAACTAACATAACATGTGTACTTTTTTTTTTTTTTCTGGTACAACAACATGTGTACTTCTAGATGGACTAGTGTCAATGCTTTCAGGGCAACAAACCAAATTTTAACAAGCATAACTGAAATTAATCACAATTTACCTCGATAATTAATAACACGATATGATATGGATAAAACTGTTAGTAATTTTCTATAGTTCAGTAGCATTTAATGAATGATATCTAAATAAAACAAAGTGACAATTCAAATTCACCTGGAGCAACACTTGAACTATCTTCCAGCCTAGTTCAACTGATTCAATCGGTCGCTCTCGAATTTAGGGTTGGGGTTCACTACTTGCTTTCGACGATATAAATCTGCTGACTTTCTTTTTTGTTTTTTTTTTTGTTTTTTTTTTTGGTTCTACTTCTTGCGTATTATTTTACTCGTTAGCTTTATTTAAATGGATAACATGGAGTATTTCTAGCGGCTAGACAGTAGTTCAATTTCAAATTGACTGTTCCCATATTGTGGATTACATAGAAGAATAAAAAAACCACTCAAGTTAAAAAAAAATATATATATATATCAAATAAGCTTGGCGACCATGCATTTTCTCACACGGCATATAATTTTTTCATCAATTTTCAACAAGAATAATGATATTCTTCTCTACAAATATAACTCTATTTACATATTTATCTAATTGGCATTTCACATCGCCTTCCTAATTATTATTTTTTCTTTAACTAAACAGAAATAATTTTAAAAGAAATTTTATCCTTTTCTTTTTTTTTTTCCTTCGTTTCTTTTCTTTTTTCACCATCGTAAACAGAGAATTCCTCTTCGTGAGGATGTCTTCCTCACTAAAAGTCCCAAAATTATGAGAATTATCATCACATTTCTGATTCAACCAAAAAATAAAACTAATTGAAGCTACCCATAATAAACTTGTAGTTTTATTGTCATTGTGGGGATCTCTTGCACATGGTTTTGTTAGTCTTGATTCTAAATCAAATCCTGCCATTGTTGGGGTTCTCAGTCAAATCTCCTATCTCCTAGTGAGTAATCAACTAATCTACTAAGCAACAATTATCGGAGAGCCACAATTTTGTAGGTAGAAGAATTCCCTTTTCAAATGATGAAGGAGAACCAGATTTTTTTATTTTTTTTTTAAGGTTTAGGGTTCTCGTACGCAATGGCGAAAGGGGGAAGAGGATGAAGCTTTAACATTTCGATTGAAATTGGATTCTATTTTCGCTAAAAAGGAAAAAGAAATAGATTTTATTTTTTAGTAGAAAGAAAAAATAATAATTAAAAAAGTGATATGAAATGCAAACTAGATAGACATGTAAGTAGAGTTATACTTGTTGAGAAGAATATATTACTTTTTAACAATCTCAATATTGGTACATTACAATGATCCAGAGAACTTGATCATGAAGCAAAACTCATAGAGCCCCACGTATATATATGGAATGCAATCCATTCCTTATTGAAAAATGAAGCACGTCTTAATGACTCATGACCAAAAAACACACAATAGAAATCAAAATCCAAAATCAAACAAGCATCAACTGAAGGTAAGGCTTTCGTTTTTTTTTTCTTTTTTTTGTAGAGACTTCGCTCAGTAGAGCTCAGGATGTGCAATGATGTATGCTTCAACAGCCTTGAAGATAGTAATCGCCTTTTCTTTTCCAGCCTTAATGTCATCTTGACTGATTTGAGCATTTCCCTTGGAGAAATATGTGCTCTTGTTCTTGCAAATGGATCCTCTATCGGCAGATGGCACCATGTGAACCTCGTAAGATATTTTTTCAAGTTCATCTTGCAAGACATCTCCTTCTACAATGCTGTATTTGTAGACGTAATTCTCTTTGTCAAGTTCCTCAACGTGGTGCTTCACGCTCTTATACTGGCTACCTAGACATTTTCAAATGATAATCAAATCATTTATATATTAGTTGTACGGAAATTGACTACAAACGCACACATTAAAAACACATTCAAAACAGAACCTGACCTTCACCAAAAGTCGTGACTTTGATGGTTCCAGCTCCACCATCTCCTTGGAGAATTTCGACACTCTTAACGGCTTGAGGCAAGACTTTAGGAATCAGTTCATCGCCGTTAACAATAAAAGCGTTGAACAATCTGGCAGGTGAGATTGAGGAAGTAACCTCGTGATCATAAGTGATAACAACCATGATGAGTTATTTTAGTATCTGAATGAAAAAGAGATGATGCTAATAGAGAGAGCAAAATATAGATGGCTTGAATATTGTTGTAAACGTTGTAATTCAAAAAGACGGGTTGATGCACTTGAAGGACTCGAGGGCCAAGTATTTATAGTAAGTTCAATCAAAGTTACATTTATTTATTAACTTGTAGACATTAAGTTCAGGTCAGAATTATGATTTTCCCATTTGGGGGGGGGGATTTAACCAGAACTATTATTTTTTAAAATTGCTAGTGGACGATTTAATTTAATTTTTTGGTACCAGCCACGATGAAACGAAACTTGTTCAAGGAAAATTCCTTTTGGATGGAGACTGAAATACTTCATAAGTTAGGGCTCGTTTGATAAGTCTGAAGTTTGAAGTCTGAAAACTTAAAATTGAATTGAAGAAGTGATCGAATCTGAATGGCGGAATGTGATAATGGAGAAGGATAAATTTTGATGAAGTCTGAAAACTTAAAATTGAATTGAAGAAGTGACCGAATCTGAATGGCGGAATGTAATAATGGAGAAGGATAAATTTTGTTGACCCATTATAGGAAGTGAAGAGAAGCGGCAAATTTAGAGACAGTGTCATAACGAATTTCATTTCATTAATAATCTTTAGGCATAATTATAGGCATAATTATATTCTCAAACGTTGTTTTCTCTTTTCCTTCTTCTTTTTATTTATCGTCATTAATTTTTTTGATAATACCGCAGCATATAGTCGTAAATTATTGACTTGGCAGGCCAGGTCTACTAAGGATCAAATGATTTTTCTTTCTTTTTTTTTAATTTGTTATTATATTGTTTGTCTCAACATTATTTACCCGCTAAAAACAATACTAGTCAATTCCTGCCTTATTTGACAAAAGCATACATTGTATTTATGGACTTAGTTCACTAATTTTGTCCAATTATGCACAAGAATAAGGCACCAGCACGAGTCACTCTCCCCCTTGATTTTGATGGGTCAACAAATTTTAGCTCCTAATTAAACTACTCCGACCTTCAATAACTTTTTTAAGTTTTCTTTTTGGGTACAACAATATATTTTCTAAAATAAAATATTGTAACGAAGTTAACAATAAAAAATCTTTTCAGCTGGAAAAAAAAAACAAAGAAAATAGTCCATCAGTCAACCGCCTACACAATCTGCCCATTTCTGAAGAAACTGTCAAAGAGTGATCAACTTAGAACGACTTATGTGCCCTACTGCTTTCTTAAAAGCTCCTTCTCCATTCTTAATTTACAAGATGAAGTATTCAAGAAAATACGCCTTTGTTTTTTACAGTTTGCAACAATTTCCTATTGAGTACGTAACTAGTTAATCAAGATATTATATACTACTGTTATTACAACTAATATATATGAATACTTAGCCCCGATGAATTCAGTTTCACCACAACATATTCACGCATTAATCTCCAGTTTGCATTTTCTCTATATTGATCATCATGGCTGCCATCACTTACGATCATAAAGTTACTTCCTCAATCCCACCGGCAAGGCTTTTCAACGCTTTCATTGTTAACGGTGACGGACTCATTCCCAAAGTTTTGCCTCAAACTATCAAGAGCGTCGGAATCCTCCAGGGAGATGGTGGAGCTGGGACTATAAAGGTTACCACTTTTGGTGAAGGTCAGTAAATAATTAATACTCCACAAATGCAATCAAGCATTCACAATGTATTAGTTAATGTCAACAATTTATCAATGATGCTGTGCTGAAATGTAAATGAAAACAGGAAGTCAATTTAAGAGTGTGAAACACCACGTCGAGGCGCTTGACAAAGAGAATTATGTCTACAAATATAGTATTTTAGAAGGAAATATCTTGCATGATGCAGTTGAAAAGGTTTCTTATGAGACTCAGATTGTGCCCTCTTCTGATGGAGGATCCATTTGCGAGAACAATAGTACATATTTCACCAAGGAAAATGCTCAAATCAGTGAAAATGACATTAAGGCTGGAAAAGAAAGCGCAATCACTGTCTTCAAGGCCATCGAAGCTTATCTCATTGCCAATCCCGATCTCTACTAAGTGAATTTTCAGCGATATATATCGGAGCCTTTAGGTTTCTTGTGTCTCCATGTTTGTGTATGTGTGTGCGTGTGGTTTTTTCTTTTCATTAAGTGAATAGGGAATAGATGGCATCGTACATCTACACATTAGTTTTTCTCTACTCGATCTATTCTGTTGCAGTTTTACATCTTATTTTAATAATCCACCTCTTTGGTTTGACAAAAGAGAATTATTAAAAAAAGGACGTGGGAGAAGAATTTTTCATTGTATCATTTTGCTCGAATCATTGATGTTACACTAAATTTTCATTTTCGTATCACTGTATATGAAGTACTATTTCATTTACAAATGTAAATTAGGCCTTATTATTAATTTCAATTGACTTAGTCCGTTCCAACATATTACGTCAGTGATGTAGCAAGGGGACCAATAGGCATGGTCACCTCTTTCCCAATAGTTTTTCTTTTGGATGTTGTTATTGTCATAACAATAATTAGCATACACAACAGAATTCCAATTAACAAGACTGGATTTTCTCTCAATCACCTTGGCTTCCCACATAAACCTTCTCTTTATTTTGTCAATTTCATCACCAGTTTCCACAAGTAGGATTGTCTATTGCATGAAATGATTCGGAATTCCTTCTAAAACCACTTTATTTAACAAATCTCCATCTAACATAATCTCCTTCGGGTTCCACTTTGCTACTTGTTATAAACTTTAGAAACCATTTCCTTGTATGTCTCTCTTGTCAACCTGCTATGGATAATTAGCACTCCCAAACATTTCTCCAAGCGACTAACAAGATGTACTCCCATGGTTCTGTTAATTTTTGTAGCTACTTCACCGTCGATATTTAGGGGAACATAAACAACCGACTTATCTCGACTAATGGTCTACCCTGATTACGCACAAAACGTATCTATAGTTTTTTGAATTAGTTCCACTTGCTCCAAAGATACCTGTACAAATGGAATGAAATTATCCGCATAAAACGGGTGAGACAACCATTCTCTGCCATGACCAAACAAAATAGGTTTTCAATTACCTTTGGCAACTTCCAAATTAATGGTGTGAGCCGTTTTTTTCCATACAAAGCACACAAATATGAAGTGATACCGGATCCCCATGTCTAACCCCTCCGAATGGACAAAAAGAATTAACAATAACCTCTTCCCATAGAACCTATGTTGAACTAGTAGATAGTGTGCTCAAAATTATGTTATCCAGGTACGGTGGGATCCCGATCCACATCCTGAAGTGTGTCCCTAATAAAGTCCTAGGTGACACGAATCACACGATCATATGTTTTTAGTTAAGTCAATTTTGAAGGCAATGCAATTTTTTTTACCTTTCGTATTTCACAATTAATGAAATGTCTCATGAACTGTCATAATATTGTCAATTATTTTCCGACCTGGTATAAAACTTGCCTATGTGGACAGCGTCAGATGTGGCATGATGAGTTTTAGCCTGTTGGCAATCACCTTTGAGTAGGGGTGGGACTAGCCCTTGCGCTCTGGAGGTGCTCTCCTGCGTAGTGAGAAATTCCTCTTTTTAAATAATACATTTATGTGTACAAATACAAATTATATTGAAAAATGATCTCAAATAGAAAATTTTCTACACCCACATATATGCGAGTTGTAGCCAATTAAAGTATCAAAATTATCAAGAGTGAATTGTTATTCTTCACTCTATTTTTATTTGAATTTCTTAAATAATAATCAAACCATTTCCACTATTCATACAAAATAATCAAATATTTTAATTAAATTAAATTAAGTTGAATCAATGATGGTACATAAGTATGCAACAAAATAAATATAGTGTAAATTTGCCATTAGATTTGCTAATAAAATTTTCTTATTGGACAACTAAGAAATAACAAAATTACATTAATAAAAAAAACAGATTCACATATATCATACAATCACTTATAAATTTTGCCTGAATCGTACAAGAAATTAGACAATAACTAATCTTGTAGTCTTGTTTATTAAAAATAAAACAGAAAATTACAAAGGGCCGGTGGAAAAGTATGGTAAAAGGAAGGCCTTTTAACTACTTAGCCCATTAGTCCATCACCATAAAGGGCTTAGTTCTCACCATCATCTTCAACCTTACCTCTCTCCACCGATTTAACTGGAGGTGCTCGTCAGAAATTCAGCGGCGGACACAAATCGGCGGTGGTCATTTTTCCATCGGCTGGGGGTGCTCTAGCACATCTTAGCCTCTAAATAGGTCCACCTGAGACAATATGGAAGCTTTCTGGCTGACCTCTTTTAGGAATAAGTTTGATCAGGGCCTTATTAAATTTCAAAACATTTCCTAAACATACTAAATTTCCAATTATTTCCCAATTGAAGTGGTAAAAGTGTTAGCCCACTATTTTGAAATAGAAGGCCCGATCCAACATATTTAGGTAAAAAGGTCCAAATTTCAAACGCAAAAAAATAGTAACAAAACTGGCACCAACAATCCAATCATCGAGTGATCATTGTTAATTGCTTTTTGCACTTCAACTTACCAAATACAGGATTTATTGACCATAATTTACTTGGGTCCAATCATTTTCATCAAATATACCCCCGACCTCTTCATCTATAAAAGGGCAAGATTTCTTACAAACAAAATCACAATTAACTTCACTACTCCTTGTTGTGTGATTTCTTCTAAGGGAGTTTTGCATTCATCTAATTAATATAAAGAAAATGGCTCGTACGACTTTGTTTGGTTGTATTATTGTTGCCATGGTGGCAAGCATATTCTCCATGGCTTTAGCTACCCCTGGAACAGCCACATTTTACACAAGCTATACTCGTAAGTAGTTTCCAATTTCACCTTTATTTATGTGCATACTTTTTTCTCAGTAGCTATTGCCCTAATTCTGTAATAGAAACGTTAAAATACAAAAAAACTTTCTTCATAATCATCATGAACTGGAAAATGATATTACAAATATTACTTGAAACATAAGCGTAATTTACTTACATAATTTTGCATTGGTGGTGCAGCTTCGGCTTGCTACGGCAACACACCGGAAGGTGTATGGATCGCCGCCGCCAGTGATCCGCTATGGAATGGCGGGAAAATTTGCGGAACAATGTACAAAGTTACATGCACCGGGCCAACGAACCCGTATCCCAAATCTTGCATTAACGGCACTAGCGTGACGGTCAAAATCGTTGACCATTGTCCCGGCTGTGGAGGAACCCTTGATCTTTCTAAGGAAGCCTTTCAAACTATTGCCGATCCGGTTCATGGGGTTGTCAAAATTGATTATACTCAGTAAGACAAAAACAAGTTTATTTGCTGGTTTTCTTTTTTTTTTTTTTTTGGTTTCATTGAATTAGTAGTATATGCATATCGGTCCATTAAATTTTGGGAAATGATTTCATTGTTGTGGTGGTTGCAGGGTATGAATGGCTTTCAACTGGGAAGAATTATCTTGCCCTGGAGTTAAAACCTGAATTCCTGTCACAGCCCACAAGTAGTCTCATAATAAACTTAGTTACTATGTATTTTTTGAAATAATATTCATGACGTAATCATTTGAATGAAATAAAATTATTCCATATTTTCATAATATGAACTAATCAAGATATATTGCGCATTTCGTCTCTCCTCTCTCCTACCCGGTTGTTAAAAAAATGGCGTACTAATTATTTCAGATTCTTATTTCAGATTGTGATGGTATTTTGTTATTAATTATCAAAGCATCTCCATCTGTCCTATTAAAGAAGGGTTCATGTTGGTATTTATTTTAGTTAAAGTACATTAACAATCACATTAACAATCGCGTTGCTCATGTTCATAAATCGCGGTGCTCAAACATTATCCTCACGAATAAAATCATATGAAACGTCATGACTTATTGAAATTTAAACTACGAATGGGGAAAATAAAAATTTATGACTTACGTAAAAAAAATAGTCAAAGTTTACCATTTACAATATAGTACTAGAGAATTAAAAAACCAGTAATAAAGTGAAAAACAAAACTCCCTCGGGTCCTTAATAGGTATATACATACATATATATATATATATTTATTTATATATATGTGTGTATGTGTGTGTGCGTGCGTGCGTGTAAGATCATTGAATAACTGACACTAATTGGTTTTGCATTTGGATGACCTAGTGTTCTAGTATGATGTTAGAGTCGAGTTTTTTATTTTTATTTTATTTTTTGAAATAATAAATAGTAAATTCATTCCTTTACTAAAACTCGTCCGCTGCATTAGATAAAATTAGAAAATACCCCACACCACATACAAGTTACAACATGTTAGAGCTAAGTTTGGTTGTTTTAACATTCTTGTTTGTTTCGACGACTTCGTTGGTTTATACCGTAATAGTCCCTCTTAACGTATTTTAAGGCAAATTTTCTTAATTAAATTTTGTTTTAATAAACAGAACATGATGGAGCACACTATGAGTAGATTTTGGGGTTTCGTTTTGTACTTTATTATAATTTTTAGAACAAAGATTGTGCAAATTATTTCAACAGCACGAAAAAAGATCCCTTGGTTTCGATTTATACTTTCAAATGTCTGCTTTTACCCATAGTTCCAATATTCTTTGGCAGGATAGCAGGAAATCTATCAATTATGGCTGATTTCGTTTTCTATTTATCGATAAGATCCAGCATTTGATACTTAAAAAATAGTCATTCCAGTTGTGGTAATAACTAATGGGTGCATCTTCTTCTTCTTTTGTTTATCATTATTGTATACCCTTAAAAGGATACAATGCACTTGCATATGCTTCTCCTGAATGAAACTGAAGTTGAAATGATCACATTCCCGAAAATTAATTGGTGCAAATAAGAAACGTGAATTTCCAAGAATACAGGTGCATAATGATACTCCCTTATGTCTCCAGTAAATTCTATTTTATTAAGCTACTTAAATGTTATAAACAAAACTTAAACTCTTATTGGGGGCAGGATTACAAGTTTACAACTTGTTTTGAACTATTAAATTTCCAAGAAATTAAGATACTATTTCTTTTAGAGGGAGGGTGAATTAACTTTTTCTTTTAGAGGGTGAATCGACTATAATTTTGAATTAAATCGATAATGTACATATGATCGATCATGAATTTAGTTTTTTCGAGACCATGCATCACTTCAGTATACTAGTCTCTCTATCTAGCAATTTTCTGATTTCTCAAACTATTATTGCCCGTAAACATTGAGTTTTTGAACAAAGTAACTTGTTAAAGTAGCAAAAAGATAAATATTAAGAAGTTACGTACATATGTTAGTAAAATCACCGCCACAACAATTTGCACGCGCCCGAATCCCTAACTGTTGGTTAAATTATTTTTTAAGTGCAAATATTTAATTAGAAGAATAAATTTTTCGTTAGCATTGAGATTTATTTAGATTATTTTAGTTGAATTAGTTTTGGAGATTATTTAGTATTTGAACGTAGAGAGGAATCTAAAAGTGATTTTCTCTTTTTGGTTATTGCATAGTTGTCAATAAATTAGATTTCTCACTAAATTAATATAACTCTCTTCTAATAAAATTTTACGTTCTTAAGAATTTCTGCTCTTTTCTCCTCTCTTTCCCAATAAAGTGGTATCAAGAGTTTACGTTGAAATTGAGGGACCTGTGTGAGTGAATTAGTGAGGACATTTCTAAACAAATAAATCATTTAAGCAAATCTTCTTTTATCAATGTAATGAATGAATAATTTCATATATGCTCCTCCAGTTTTTAAAAGAGAAAATTATAATATTTGAGTTATGAAAACGGAAGCCAATCTAGAAACAAATAGATTATGGGAGTTGGTGGAAACTTTTTTAGTTAAGATCGAGATCTAAATTCATTTAGTTGAATTAATTTTTGAGATTTTTTAATATTTGAACGTAGAATTTTAGAGATATTTTAGGAATTTAAGAGTGATTTTCTTTTTTTTTTTGGTTATTGTGGAGTTGTCTATAAATTAGATTTCTTACAAAATAAAATACAACTCTCTTCTCATAAAATTTTACGTTCTTAAAATCTCTACTCTTTTCTCCTCTCTTTCACAATGCTAATGACGAAGAGATCGAATTTCCCATCCACAACATTTGGTGTTATGAAAAGGGCCAAATTTAAAAACATCCAATCTTAAAATTACATTACAAATTAGGAAGAAATGAAAAACTACATTCGAGTATCAAATTTAATCATGATGATGAACGGTTTTGTCATGTTAATAGGCAAATTGGCAGGCTTTTATTTCTGCTACAAATGCTGATGATGGCTTTGTAACATTCTACACCATTTGGTGTCATGTTAATAGGCAAATTGGTAGGCGTTTTTTTTTTATCTGTAAAAAAAAATACAATTTATCTGTTTACATATTCACAAACTCAGATGTTTCCTATCTATCTGCTGTAAAAATGTTCACTTATAATTGGCTCGCTAAATATCCTCTTGCTTCCTTGGAAAACAATAAGCTTGCTAATTATGACTGATCGCGATTGGTTTATGAAACCTTTGAATTTTTTTTATAGATATCATGAAAATAGGACACGTGGTCATTGTCACAAGGTCTAAAAAAGTTTATTCTTCATGTTACTAATCTGAAGATATAACTAAATGGACCCAATTAAACTTTTACCGAAAAGCCGATATGGAAGGAAATTGTTCTTTATTGGGCAACACATATAAAGCAATAGAACTTAAAAGGGCATTGTCGCAAAACAATAAGCTGATAATAGATGATCAAAGTTATATCACTCAGAAGAGCTCAGGATGAGCAATAAGGTATGCTTCAACAGCCTTGAAGACAGTAATTGCCTTTTCTTTTCCAGCCTTAATGTCATCTTCACTGATTTGTGCATTTCCCTAGGGGAAATATGTGCTCTTGTTCTTGCAAATGGCTCCTCCATCCGCAGAGGGCACCATCTGAACCTCGTAAGATATCTTTTCAAGTGCATCTTGCAACACATCTCCTTCTATAATGCTGTATTTGTAGACATAATTCTCTTTGTCGACCTTCTTAACGTGGTGCTCCACACTTCTATACTAGTTACCTATACGTTTTCAAATGATAATCAAATTAGTAGTTCCATGAAAATTGACTTACAAACGCACACAGTAAAAGAATGTTCCAAACAGAACCTGACCTTCACCAAAAATGGTGACCTTGATGGTTCCGGCTCCGCCATCTCCTTGGAGGATTTCGACACACTCTTAAAGGCTTGAGGCAAGACCTTGGGGATCAGTTCGTTGCCATTAACAATAAAAGCATTGAACAATCTTGCCGGTGCGATTGAGGAAGTAACCTCGTGATCATAAGTGATGGCATCCATGATTTGTTGATTTAATTAATATACTTAAAGAGGAAATAACGTTGATACTTGCTAGAGAGCAAAAAAAATGCTTGAATATTGTTGTAGTAGTAGATCTTTGTAATTCGAAGGTTTGATGCCCTTGAAGGATAGCAAGTTTGATAGAATATATATATACATATATATATATATATATATAATCACGGAAACCCTAATTAGGATTTCCGATATAGTCGACTAGGGTTGTAACTTATTGTAATATAAATACCATGTCGTATGGCGTAAATAATACACACAATATTTCTTTCATGGTATCACCCGCTCCTTCCAAGGCCGTAATAATCTTAGGTTTTTTTTTTCTGCCGTCTATTCTAGCTTCCGTCGCTTCTCCCCTTTGATCACATCTCTAATCACTTGCTTTGATCAAGTTTCTGCCTTCCTGCTTCCTAGGATCACATTTCCCCTTTGATCACTTAGTTCAGTTCGTTGATTACCTCTCATCCGCTGCTCCTTCTTCTTTGTCTTCCGAAAATCGGACAAAAAAAACACAAAATCCGGTGGCCTTGTTTTCTTTATGCCGTTCTTCTCCCCAAACTTAATCCCACGGTTCTGTTCCTTCTGCTCGTTAGAATAGTAATCCGCCCCTGTGTTTCTTTTTCTTCTTGAGTCTTCAACTCCTTACGTCCTATTCCTGTAGGTGTCGCACTCTGCCGCTGCTTCTTCTTATTTTGTCACTGCTCCGTACTTCATTGCCAAACTTGTCGCAGATTCCTCTTCTCGGTTTCGGCTGTCTTTAATGCGGCTGCTTCTTTCCTTGCTTCTTTAAAAAACAAAAACTACAAAAAAAACATTCTTTCAGCCGCTAACTGTCTTCGGTTACCAATCACAACTCTGCTGTATTCGGTTATCACCGGTTCTTTCCATCATCTCTGTCCATCTTTTCTTCTTTGCAACCTGCTACAATGACAAATTCCGCCGACTCTGCTGTCTCACAACAAACTGCAATTCCATCGACCGAAACCCTGAACACCAACTCTGCTACTTCTGGCAATCTTCCTCATACATTACCAACTTCTCATCCGGTTGTTGGTCTTTCAAACATAAAGAATTTTGTGACTCATGTTTTGGATTTTAACAACTACATGCTCTGGAAAGAGCTTTTCCGCGGCCATGCCGTGATTGGTCATATCGATGGCTCCGATCCTTGTCCTCCATCAACTCTCCCCGCCTCTGACGGCTCTTCCTCTTTGAGTCCCAATCCCACCTTTCAAACTTGGACCCAAATCGACTCCATTGTTCTCTCCTGGATCCAAATCACTG